TTAGAGTGAATTAGTCTATCATTTAAAACATCATTTGGCCAAACATTTTTTCATGCCACTGTCTTCATTATTAAATTTAATTTTTTTCTTTTTTCTTATCATTTCAGAAACCTTCATGCTGAACGTCTGCAACCGAAATTGCATCAAGTGTCTTTATGTATCTGCCTTCGTCAGTAATTTCATTTAGAATATTGAAAGCTGCTTTAGTTTCAATAGAAAAGTGGAGTTAACAGTAACATTAGAATTTTTAAATGGAATTACTATTTATGTAATTGTGATACATGTAATTAATAATTAAAATAACGACACAAACGAAGTGTTGCTGGTGGACAGTAAGCACCAAAACAATCCATAAACAATCCAAGGCCTTCAACTGTGATTTTAAGCTGGTATCGTTATTTTGCGTAATCATAAATTATAAAGTCGCTAATTAGTGTATTAGCCGGAGATTTCAATTTAAATATAAAACTATAGAAATAGTCAGCAAAATGTTTAACCTCAACACACCTTCGTCACTGCTGGGCATCGATGGATGTGGGCTTAGCTCTACACCGAAAACGCCTGAAATTGTTAACTCACTGATCGCAATGACAAATCCAATGGATAATTATAACTTTTCGGCTTTAAATAATGGATCAGCTGCATCGACGCCTGGCAGCGCAGTCTCTATGCGTAACTTAAATGGTGGTGTCCCGCACGCCCAGGTAATAAAATATTTTGAATCCATTTTTTTTTTGTTTTTTACATCGTGTCAGACTATGCTAGCAGTAATATACTAAATATAATAAAATTATTTAACTAGTTTATGATTTTTGATTTTATGCAGCACTTCCACTAGACATTAAAATAACAAGAAACCTTGCGATTTAAAAAAATGATTAACGTAAAGGCGCAGACTGGCTTTCTTTGTCATTAAAATTGTTAGCATTTTCTGTCCAGTGGAAATGCGGCATTAGTGGTTTGCATACTTTTAATATATAAATGATTCTTTTCCAGATCATTTCGCAGGATAGTAGTCATTCCAATTCTTCTACTTCACCAATTGACTCACCAGGTGGAACGAATACCACACCAAGTGTTCAGCAGGTGAGTTTTTATTATTAAAAGTGGGTATACATTTAAGTTACTATAATGATAAATAAGCATTAAATAAATTTTTAAAATTGTGCTACATGTCTATATACATATATAGATACGTAAGTATCTGTATATACATACATATAAACCGCTGCTGTCCCTATATGTAGTTCGCAATTGCTTGTCTTCAACTTGAAAGCCATATGGCGAGTAATTGTTCTGCGAAGGCGAAATTCATGCTGTTACGTATTGCTGCTGCGTCTTCACAAACTTGATAAGTTGACAGTCCAAGGAGTGCAGATAGAAGAAACCGTATAAATAATACCGCACGGTCGACTGGTCGACTGGGAACTACCCAAAAAGGTGCGAAGTGCAGCGCGAGCAAACAGCGTAATATATGTACATACATACATATGTATGTATGTAAGCTGTGCGACGCCGAAATATGCTTCCATCCACCCACCAGTAGTTGTCATTTTAGTGAGGTCCTCTTGAATCAGAAAGATGACTATGTCACTTAAATAAGCGCAAGCCCAGTAAGGTTTACGGATTTAGGTCAAACCATTGCAATTCATTATTGCCATTATACATAGGTATGTACCATGTACATATGTACATAGTAAGCGTGAGCATTTCATTGCAAACGTAGTAAGTGCATGCATACGTATCTATACACAGTAATAATTGCATGAATGCGTAAAAACGGGTACAATTGTGTGTAGAGCGAGCGAGTATTTTTTTATTGCTGCCTTCATTTACTTTAAGGTGTGGGCACACTCAGCGACCACTGTATGTGTACATACATACGTACATATCGCAGCACGTTTGGTAATGTAACCAAGTATTTCAAAATTTCAATTTTGTGCGAAAACGCAATCAATGTTTTATAAATTCATACAGTTGGTATAAAAAAAAAGACTGATGGAAAGACGCATATCTTCGCCATATTTCGGAAGTTTGGTTATCTGTTAGACTCAATATATTCTACTTATAAAACGTATTAATTGCATAATGGAATCTCCAAAAACGTAAATTTTTGAGTTACATCTCTATATTATTAAACGCGCAATATGCATGTATGTACATATATTGTCTACACGAAGTGGCATTGATGTGCAAAGTTTTTGCTTATCAAGATTTGTGCGGTTTGCATTGATTTTTTACTAAAGCAACAGCAATAACAAACAGGCTCTATAATGTTGTGAGTTTATATTTTAAAGACGTGCGAACGAAAACACACAGATTTAAATTTTAGAGTTGATTTTCGAAATCAAAAAAAAGAGAAATATGGAAATACATACATATATTCGTACATATAAATATGTGGGAACATATGTATGTGGTTATGCTCATACATACTCAGTAGTAGTTGATTCATAGGCAGGAAAAGGAGAACCGAGAGCATATAATATTTGCCTAAAGATTATCTACTTAAATACCACACTTACTGCCGAAAAAATTGGATTTGCACAAACTTTTCTAAACTCGGATATATTTATGTACATTTATAACACATGTACATATACATACTTCTTGTAGAAGCATTCCCTGCAAAAAATGCGACTAATCCGGCATGACTCCGGGACATCCACTTTTTATCTCTTTATATGGAATGAACTGTTCGCTTTTGTTCGAGCATGTCCTATGAGGAGACTAATTGTTCACCTTTATACCCGAATGGGTATTAAAAGCGACTAGTCACTTTTAAAAATTATATGTAAATAAAAATTTGCGTTAGCTGCGATTCGAACCGGGGTTCTCAGTTTTGTTAAGCGAATACGCCGCACATGAAATTTCATTGACTAAGTGCGTACATATCATTAAATCGTTAATACTACCCCCGTTAGGGATGAGTCGGGGACTAATTGATCTCCAATAATTAGAATAATTGATCTCCATTAGTACCTGTATGAGACTAGTGGCGACTAATTAATGCCCAAGTGTAGCCTTGAGTTGAGAGTAATCTCGGAATACTATCGGTAGAGATTAGTCGCACAATTTTTTGCAGGTATGGTCGTACCAAAATTCGACAAGCGAGCCAGCACATATACACATGTACGTACAGATTTATTGGTGTATATATGTACATATGTATGTACATGAATGAGATTTTTAATTAACTGCACTTGTAGACTAGCGTCAAAAGCCAACTCTCTTACGCAACGGAGCTTTGTGCTGGAGTAAAAATGAACAAGTTGCCATTTTTGGTAGCCTCGAACCAGTGCAGCACCACCACCAAATATGAAATGTGCACTTCGGTGCAAGCATTATGGCGTTTTTGGCTATTGGTGGCAGACAGGATTTTCTTACGTCGAAGCATTTTTGGAAATCCTACTAAAGTGATTAGTGGTTTGATTTTTGTGCATTGCCATTCGCTATACGACACCATTCGACCGTCAATGAATCACAATGACATACATATGTATGTATACAAGCCAACGATTATGTAAATAAGAAATCAGCACTGAACTTTAAAATGCAAAAAATAAAAAAATATTTATTAACTTAAAATTATTTATTAATGAATATTGGAAAGCAACTCCGTGCTATATCGTCAGTGATACAGCAAAATATTTATTGCCAACTATTACCTCTGGTGCTTAAATGGCCTCTCAGCTATATCTGATCACTTCTGTTAATCGTTCATCTTCATCAGCCAAAATTACGGTGACCATCCGTTCTTATATAATGATGTGTAACACAGCACAGTACTGTGCTAACACTCATCAATGTGCCGCACGCTCAGGCAAACTTTTTGATTAAACGATAGCACAGAAGCGCACTGGGCACAATATGAAAGCACAAACTGGGAAGTGTTCTCGCCGCCAATGATCGCAAACATAAAGAAATGGAGAAGTAAATTAGTTCTCAAAGTTTGAAAGGGAAGTGGATCACTTCGAAGGTCCGCTTTGTCATTCAGCTTGTTCCGGATGCTTGCACTGCGTTGTGCTTGGCCGAAGTCCGAGTAGGAAAATAATGCTTTCAAAGTAGCGTAACAAATTTGAAAGTTCTGTCGCCAACTTTTACGTATAATAATTAGTACCACTAAGGATAGAAATACTACTAGTTAATTATACATAGTTAGATTAGAAAGTTATTATCAAAAACTTTTGAATTAATTTAAAACTTTCACTTTCTCAGTAAAATCTGTTACAACTAAGCAATTTTTAATTTAATTTTTAAATCTTCACTTTCTTCTTCTAGACCTGTTCGCAACTTATCAAAGCTGGGCTCAAGCTTTCCATCCAAAGCAAGCGAAAACTTTCTACTTGTG